GGCCCTGGGTTCGATTCCTCAGCACCACATAAGCAAAAAGAAAAAAGCCAGAAGTGGCACTGTGGCTCAAGTGGTAGAATGCTAGCCTTGAGCTGAAGAGCTGAGGGATGGCACCCAGGCCCAGAGTTCAGACCCCACGACTGGACCCAAAAAAAAAAAAGAGTCTTATGGACGTTCCAGCCCAGGCTGGCTTTGAATGGTAATCCTCAGATCTCAACCCCGCTGGAGTAGCTAGAATTACACATGGGAGCTGTAGATACTTAGCTTCCCTGAGGGGTTTACCTAAAGGCTAGCACTTTACCACTTTTGAGCAGCAGCTTCACTTCTGGCTTTTTGGTGGTTAATTGGAGATAAGAGTCTCAAGGACCTTGCTGCGTGGGCTGACTTGGAACTGCAATCCCAGCCTCTTGGGTAGCTAGGATTTACAGGTGTTAGCTACCAGTGCCCTGTAAAAAGGAGTATTAAAGTTTTTAGCATGTTTCATTGTTCTGTTGGCATAATTGCAAGCAAACTACTTTGGCCATCTTCATCCTTATTCACCTTCTCTGTTTTGTTATCCCTTCCTCCCGGGTACCCATCCCACCAACAGAGCCTGTTTAATGTCATTTTTTTACATCTTTTTTTTAGTTTGTAGTAATTGTGCCAAGTGGTTTCACCATGTGATTCAGTTAACTTTTAACCTCGCTAAATTATATGTTGTGTGTCAGACAGAGAAAGAGAGATGCAGCAGCACTGTGTAACACTCTCCTCTTGCCACACATATTAGTAGCTCTTGCACAATTACCCATGGAATATTCCCATCTTGGACTTTTTCCACACCCTAAATTTAGCAAGCTAGAATTATCTTTTAAGCACCACTTTAAGCAACCGTCTTTGAAAGGAAGATTGCCAACAAGAAGGAAATCTGCATTTCCTGATGGCTGAGTGTAGTATACCTGACTTAATCCTACAGCCGGTCTTATTTTGTGCTGCTGATGGTACAGCAAAGACTATAATCCAGCAATTCGTTTCAGATTTGTAAGAGTAAAAACTTGTACACGCAGCTAGAGAAACATGAGAAACACAGCTGTCACTGCCAGGCAGTAAATTACAGACATTCTTGCTTTGTGTGTTCTGGAAATGGTGCACATTGAATTGAATAATTGCCTTCAGTTGGCCAGTGTGATTTCATTATTTAAAGGAATCCTTTTGGAGGGCACTAAGGGAAGTACTGGGTTTGACAACCTCAGGGCCCTGAGCTCAGCAGGTGTTATACCTGCTAAGCTATATCCTCAACCCTCTGATTTGAAGAAAATCTATGTTTCAGTGTTTTAATACTAAAAGCAAGCAGTCTACCACTGAGTTACACCCTCATCCCCGGGACACTGACCTGTTTATTGACCCGAAAAATCAGGATTAGAGATATAATAGCCAAATTTCCCAAACTGGCCAGTTTAAATTGGCCTGATAATGACATTCCCGCTGCTTTCATGGGTACACAAAAGAAAGTAACCTAAAGTAACCTGATGTTAACCAATCAGTTCTTTCTGTTGTTCTGATTCCACATTTCCAGGAAAGTAACTTTGAAATGGACAATATGCTTTTTGTTCTTTTACTTCTTTCTTCAACCTGTCTCTATGTAACCAATTTCTCTGTTCAGCCCAGTAAAGCACCCATTCTCTTACATAAAGTGTTGCTTGACTCTGAAGTGTATGAAGCCAATCAATAGAATTAAAAGAGAATGGTAAAGGAGAAAGTAAAGTGGAGGGAGGTGTGAATAATGATCAAAAGTACTTCAAATATGGGCTGGGAAGGTGGCTCAGTGGTAGAGTGCTTGCCTTGCATGCATGAGGCCCTGGGTTCAATTCCTCAGCACCA